GAATCGTACGGTGTCGAATAATTTGGTGTCGAATAAATCTGTGTCGAATCGAGCGGTGTCGAATCGTACTGTGGTCAATAGAGTATCACCCCTTCATAAGCTGTAAACAAAATACAAAATTAATATACGTGTGACATATCAAATATTCGCCATCTCAATTACTGACGCTATGCGTCCTCGCAAAATTAAGCGCCTACGCGTGCGCTACGCCGCTTAATGAGCTGCTCTCCCTAAAATAGTGGAAGACGCGAGTTTAGTATAAAAAATAAAAAAATGGTTGCCTTGAAGTCGTATATAGGTGGATGCGCATATCTTGTGTTAGAAGAATGTTATGTCACATCATAAAATAATAGTCAGCAGTAAAAAGTCAAATGCTCAATCAGCATTTTTAATATATATTTCTTACATCTGTTTTTAATGCTCGATATTGACCTTAATCATAAGATTTCTTTGCTGAAATATGTTTTGATATAATCAAATTGCGCATAAGAGATATTTTATCCACATACTCTAAATGCCATTGCAACGTTCATTGTTTGATAATATTTAGGTTTAATATGGTGTTCATCCAAATGATAACTAGATTTTAAGTTAAAATCGTGAGGATTTTCAATAGCAAATAGTGCATACCAATGTTTTAAAGAAATTATACCATCCGGAGTCCATCTGTGTAACAAAAAAAAAACTAAATGAAAATTTTTGTTCTACATGTTTAATGTCAAATTAATTGTTTAATTATTACATTAAATAATAATTGAAAAAAATGTAAATATATTAAGTTTAGATGTTTTTTTAGATTTTTGTTTTTTGTAATACAAAGTTTTAAACTCACCCAAATTCTTGTATAACAATGAAATTAAAAAAAATAATTTCGAAGTCATTTTATCAAATGTAAAAAATCAGAAATAAACCACAAAAGCGTCTTTCTGTATCTACAATATGTTGTCTACTAACACATTCTTCTGTTACTCCAAATATATTCCACATAGATCAATTCCATGACGCTCCATCTGATACTACAGTGTCTATTTTTAGTCCAGATTGTTCTGTTAGAATAATACACTCCATAATAATTTTGTGCAAAATTGATGCACTTGTGCTACCAACACTTAAGAAGCAAGCTAAAGATTGAACCCATGTTCTTTTAAAAAAATGAAACATAAGAACCAATGCATGGTTTCCTTTTTTTTTGTTCTTCCGGAGTATATTGACCTAAATTAACAAACCCTTCAACTTTAGGTTTGTTCTGTTAAAATATAAAATTTTTGATGATTTCATTTTATCCACCAATAAAACATCTATAAAAATATCTTTTGGTTATTAAAATATATAATATTTATCGATATAGATCTGATATCTATTTATCTTTGGTATCTGTATAAAAAATAAATAAAAATTACATTCTTATAGTTATTCAATCTAGGAAGCAACGTTTCAAAATAAAAAATGTTTTTATATGTAAAAAAAATAACTTTTTGTAAATATTGTATACCTCGCACAGGGTGATACTCTATTGACCACAGTACGATTCGACACCGCTCGATTCGACACAGATTTATTCGACACCAAATTATTCGACACCGTACGATTCGAC